TCCATATTATCCATCACTTGATCTTTTGGTGTCATGGAGATTTTCATTGAGGGATTTGAGCTTTTGGGGGGCAACTGTTTCCAGAACTTTCTTTCTGATCACCAATGACATCATCGGAACATGTGATTGTGACCAATAAGAGCTTGTTTATATTCCAAAAACTAACGTGTTTCATGTCAGCCAATCACCTTTGATGAGAATTTGTGCTATAAAAGATTTAGGATCAAAATGAGGTAAGTAAAATTCCTTAAAAAATTATGAAAGTGATAGCTTTAAGAGGCCCAACAGTGACTGAAAGGGGAAAAATAAGTCCTTCTGTCATCAAAAACTTCTATATACCTCTCGCTTCAAAGGTTAAAAAGGTCTTCAGGTACTTTACAGTCAGTTCTTCTTCCTTTGGAAACTTTCTTACCATTGGTATCAAAGGTGTTACTTGACTTTTTTTGATTACTAGAAGTCACGTTTTTGAGTGAAGAGGTTTGTAAACAAAAGAGAAAGGGTAGAGGCGACTCTTGAAGTCATACTTCAAGTTGGTTTAATGAAAGTATTAAGACTTTATTAGCAAAGAAGTATAAAAACTTCTTGTGAACATCTTTTTTGTGTGTGGTCAGAGGATTAGCGGAAAGAGTTTTTTTTTTTTTATGCAATAATTTTTTTTTTGTATAAATTACAAAATATTTAAAATAATTAATAATTTTTAATTTTTTTAAAGTAAATTAATCTTTAAAAGTTTAGTAAACAAGTATTTACTACATATATTATAGAATATAAAATAAATTTAATTTTAATAAAAGTTGTTTTAAATTAGTATACTTTTTGTTAACAATTATTAGCAAAGATTTTTTTTTAAAATTATTAAATAGACTAAAATAAAATTATAATATGATTATATATATTATAGATTTCTTTAATATAACTTTTTTATTACTTTTAATTAATAAAAATATTAATAAAAATATTAATAAAACTTTATATACTATATATTAAATTGATTTAAATTGTAAAAATAAATAAATAATAGAAATAATAAAATTTATTATTATTTTTTTTTGTAAATTAAAATAATGAGTATAGCATAATTAAAGAAATTATATTATTAAATTATTATTAGTTTTTTTTTTTATTTTCAATAAACTTGATACAATATAATAATAAGGAATTAATTTATTTTTTAATAAATTTATTATTAATATTTATACTAATTAAATATAAGTATTTGTAATAAAATTAAAATTGAAAATTGAAAATAAGTAAGTAAAAAAAAAATAATCTTTATTTATTTATATATTATATATTATAAAATATTAGAAATGTTAAATATTTTTCTAAAAATAAAATATAATTAAAAAAATAAATTTACTTGATTAAAAATTTACAAATATTTATAAGTTTCGATAAGTTTTTATATCTTAAATGACTTATAGTTATTTTAAAATATGATAATAAAAATAATAAATATACTGTATTTAAAAAATATTTTCAGATAATTTGAATAATAAAAAAAAAATTTAATGGCAAATTCAACAAGATAAACGATATATATACTGTATATTTTTTTTTTAAAAAAAAAACCAATAATTTTTTAATTGTATTATAAAATATTTACTTTTAAAAAATTATATTTTTAAATGCAAATTATATTTTACTTAATTTTGATTTTATATTATTAAATAGTAATTTAAATTAAATAAATTTTTAAAAATTTATTTTTAATAAATTGTTCATATATACATTTTATTTATTTATTAAATTATACTATATCATATTAAAAAAAAAAAAAAAAAAAATCAATACGTACCTGTTAGAATGATAAATACGTACGTATTTAATACGTAAACACTTGAGTCAGGTGAGAGGTGTTTTACGGTTCGACGCCCGTGATAATCGCACGTGTACATATAAGTAAACGCCACAAATCAAACTTACTTTACTATCTTTCTGGTTGTAATGATTAGTTTAGATGCTGACTGTTTGCGTATTATTTTTGAACTCATTTCCGATGGAGAGGATAGAAATCAAAATATGTTTAACGTCATTATGGTCCGTTATAATTTTTTGAGAGCTATTTTTGAATTCTATCGTTCCCTCTACTCATGTGTTACTTTAATTGTAGGTGAATCGAGAATTTTGCAAGATCGCGGTACCTTTACTGTGGTGTAAGTTCAGTGATCACACGAAACAACTGTGCACATATCTTTCGTGCCTCGATCAGGCTTCTCGTTCTTTGCTGAAAAGTTACGATATAGATTTAGGACTGATACCATTTGGCACAACTTTCGATTATCCTTCATTTTTGCAAAAGTTCAATAGCCAGAGTTTGGAACGATTGTGTTATATGTTTAGTGGGTTATCTGATAATATTGAACCGCCAGTAGGATTGTTAGCGTTGTACCGAGAGCTATCTAAATTATTCATCGGTCTCAACAATCATCTACTCAGCATCCAAATTATATGTTATGACCCTTCTTTTAATCCCGCTCTCAGTGACATAATTCAGAAGCTGATGTCATCCGTGGAAATAAATAATTTTGAGAATTTAAAAGAATTGCATTGGGAAAATGTGGATCAGGATTGCACATCGTTGTTCTATTTAATGTCAAAACAAATAAGGAATCTAGAAAAGATAAAGGTGTTTTTGGACACGATTAGTGATGGAGAAGCATTTGCGACATTTATACGGGCACAACGAAATCTTCGAAAAATTTCAATTTCTGGAGAAATTTATCGAGAGTTCGATAGTTTAAATCCGATTTTAAGATCATTGGAAAGTCAGGAAAATTCATTGGTTAGCCTGGAATTGAATAAGATAATGTTAAACCCTAAAGATAAAAAAGTCATGCACGGATTGATTTCTTGTAAACGGTTAAAATCTTTATCATTGTTGATGGTTTACGGGCTTCAGGCGTTTATAGAATTCACCACATCTTTTCCACTACTGGAGAATTTCCGATACCGATGTTTTCTTCATAATGATAGGTCGCACGTGGATTATTACGAGCTTCCAATATCCCGAATATTGATGACATCTGGCACGAATATGCGATCAGTCATCATCTATGAACATACACCATCAGTTATATCCACCATGATTCAATATTGTCACAATATTCAAGAATTGAAGATTGAGATTAGTCAATTAGAAAATGAAGCGATTTGTGAGATAATAAAGAATTTGAAGAAATTAAAGATATTTTCATTTCCTTACAAAGAGAATATCGATGTAAATGACCTATTATTGGAAATGACCAGAACGTTACTTTCGACTACAGGCTCACTGAACGCAATGAGAATATTTATGCCATCAGGAAATCCGGGAAAGATCGTATCGAATGTATTGGAAACGTTTCTTGAGTCTTGTCGGAAATCGTCAGTAAAGTATGTTTGGATACAAAATTGTCCACAACATTGGGATTTTCTCACGGAACGATATGTGGATATTATTGGTCGAAGCGGTGTCAACTTCCGACTAGATTTGCCGTTTGACAATGATGTGACGCGTATCCCAGGTGAGTAGTTTGTTAAAAGGATCATTGCATGTTACTATTATGTTTTCTATTTAAAATCCTTATAAACATTTGTGTTCTTGAATCCATAGAGTCGATATCGAAAAAAACCTGGAGGTAAATGAATGAAATTTATAATTGCAATTATTGGCAATCATTTAATTAAGTATCCGCCTTCTTTCTTTGTCGTAGGTTTATATTTGATGGAGTATATGAGGTCAAGAAATTGAGTGGAAATTTTGTTCCGCAGGAAATCAACACCATAGATGAACTTGTGTTGTGACACGTTGTCATAAGATTGCGGGTCTGATTAATTAAATCTTTTATTGAATGATTCGTTTTAGAGATATATTTTCTTTTTTTTTACAAATGGGAAAAATTATTATATACAATGTACATATTGTATATGCATTAAAAAATCATTGCTATTATGATTATTGTCAAACTATTTTTGTTATTTTTAGGTGATTTATTTTTTTTAAAATTGATTTCTTGGCGTTCGATGGTTTATAGAAAAAGATCAAAATTGAATTTTTGAAATTTATGTTGATTCGATTTTAAATAAATTACAAATAAGTAATAGTAAAAACAATTATTATATTAATATATATGTGTGTGTGTTTTTACTAACCCGACCCACAATCAAGGTGTTTTTCTAATTATTATATTTGATAGGTTTCGAATATAATTATTATAACAGCATTCGTATTATGAATAATTCCAATGTAATATAATATTTATATTATTTATTAAGATATCGATAAATAGTATAATATTTATACTATCAATGATATTTTTTAAGTAGGTATTAGTGAATCAATGCATAGAATGTATATTAAGTAGTGTTGCAAAAATAGTATTACTGTATGTTGCATTAAAAAATGGGATTTATTAAATTCCTAGGTATGGTGTACAAACGTTTTATTTTACTTCACGATAAGAATTTAAAATGTTATGCACGCAATGGATTCTAATAATTGGGTAGATTTCATCGAGGTAGATTAGTTTATGTCAGTGTCATTGTCTCTCTAAGTAGGAAACACTCAAAAAGATAAAAAGAACCCTTGCAACCGAGGTGACATCGTGAGGTAGATTACGAGATAAGGTGCTGTTGTTGAATATTTAATATCAATAAAATGCAAGTAATGTTTCTCGATAATATAAACAATAAGTTCTTTATTATGATATAATATTTTAAAAATTTAATATCACAAGTAATTTTTGTTTATTATTATTAATATTATTATTAAAAAAACCATAATAAAATAAAATCGATGCGCCAAATTATCCTTTTGATAAGATATCATCACGAATATGATAAATATGTTGTATGAAGCCCAAAAACTCGATTTTGTAAAATAGACTGAAATTCAACTGCATTACGAATTCAAGCCTTCGCTTTTAATTTTATTGACTAGTGTTTGATTTTATGCTTACACGGATTTTACTAAACGAAACATTCATAGATTAAAGAACCTACCGATAAAGCTACTACTATTAAAGAAAATGCAATCCGTCATCAACAGAGCATGCATCGATTATAAAGTTTACGATATTCATTGTCCCATCTCCAACTATCACAATGTCATATGTCTCCATATACTTGTCGAGTAACTTCTCAGCTCCATAATTCAAGAAACCAATGTACAGACATGTGTGATGACGAATTCCATCGGCCATTTGTACGTCACTCAGAGAATCACCTAAGAGAATAACATTACCTCGATCTTCGATGGTAGTGTGATAAGGGCTGTCTCTAATGATGATTTCATTTTTATTGAAGGTGTGAATTAAAGGCTCTTTGAAATGATCACATCTTCCAGTCTTCTCGTTGAATCCCATCTGATTAGAAACAATGTGCATATTCCTGGCGTGAAGGAGACCCTTCATGGTGAGGACTTGTTCAATCACATCTTTGTTTGCAATAATAAATGGTCAAATGAGTTTAAGAGGCTATTTTTCGAGCGAGTCGTGGAAAAATGAAAAGAAATTACTTGCAATCCCTGCAGAGAATATTAAGAACGGAATATCATAGTTCTTGCATTTCTCAATGAACTGATCCACCCCTGGCCTCATTTCTACGGTCGATTCTGTCACCATTTCTTCGATATCTTGTTTGCTTAGATTTTGCTCAATCAATAATTTGTGGGATTTTTCCCACCATTCAATCATATCTGAAATTTTTTCGTCCTTGGATTTTTCCATGCTTATTTCAATTGGGTAATAGTAAGAAAATAGAGCTTCAACTTTGCCTTTGTACTTATTTATAATGAAAATAAAAAAAAACCTAGTATATCAAAGCTCTAATGCAATAAATACAAATATTTTTGTAGTAGTTACACTTTACATACTTCATCCGTCAAGCGAGAACTTGATTCCAGTATTCTATGCGAACTTTGATTGCGCTCTCCCGTTGAGGTGAAATATCGCGTCATTGTGAAATCAAAATCTGTAATAATTAAAAACGGGTCTTGTAAAAAGTACAAATATCACAAAAATTTTAAAATAAAAATGATGTACCGCAGATGACATGTAGGTTTGCAAGCTTGCCGCCAATAATTTTTAACAATTTTTCGCGCGTAATTTCAATATCTTTAATTTTAGCATATTGTCGAATGTTATCAATAAGCGGCTGAATTCTTTCCAGGGGCGAAGCTGACGAAGGCATTTTACCCATCTAAATTTCTAGAACGCGTCCTTATGACGTTCATGGTGTGATTTACTCACGTGACGTAATCACCTGCCTCAATGATCGCGATGCAATTAATCATCTTTTACATACTATAGGTTTATCATTTCTATTCTTTGCTCATTATCTCCTATATTATGCCAATTTTTCTTGTTATTTCTCTCTAATTTATATATCACCATTCTAATTATCTTTTTTCAATATATCAAATTCAATTAAGTTGCAAAGAAAGACAATGTAACAAGTCCACACAGTAAAATTACTCAACAAAACTAATTAAAATCAATGCTAAATAGTTATTCAAGATATAAAACTCAATTAAATACTTATTAAACATCAATAAAGAAATGGCATATAGAGCAGGAGTAAGCCTACTGGTTAAAAAGATCTAAAAAAAGATTGCATTGATTAAAAAAAACAGAAGAACATAATATAGTAATCAATTTTCTAAATAAAAAGAAACAAGACCATATAATTTAGGTTTATTTTTGCAAGTAATAAGAAATAAAGAGATTTATCAGAGCAAACTAAAAAAAAAAAGTCCAGCAAAAATAAGTACAAGGCTTTTATATAATCATTATAGAAATTTTAATTTTATCTATATTTATTAAAAAATATGATAAATCCTTTTAAATAAGAATTAATTGAAGCACTTGATTATTATTATGGGGTGATGAAATCTTCATATCACTTGTAACTTAATTTTAACTTGGCCCTCATATAATATTAAACTCTGGACCTTGCAATTGTGATCTGAAAGTACTACCACTGTGCTATAGACCTATAGGTTATTAATTATAATAATAATAAATTCTTTTTTTTTATGTTGATTCAGTCTTGCTTTATTTGTAATTATATAGTATCAATATATAGAGACTATTTTAGAATGTACTACCTGTTTACTACAAAATAAAACTCAATAGAATCCTTTTATACAAAGGTATTTACCTTGTGACTTGTTATCATCTCCAATATAAAAAATCAACCAGTCAAAACTGAACTAGTACTGAAAGAAATTTTGAATACATAAAAGTTGTTTATTAGATTTGTGATTTATTAGTTCATACACTTATTAACCAAATATATGAATTGGTCTTTTATATGTTTTTCTTAGGATATAAAGATATGATTTTCTTCTCTAGTTTTATATTTTGCTGATTTTTTTTTTTTAGTGATTCCTTTCCTAGCTTTCTACTCTTGAAAGGTTTTTCATCTTTTCTATCAAGTTTAATATAGATATTTAATAGTCTCCAGACAGATTACTGTTATACAATTTTTCTTTCTATTCTATCTAGAATGGTTATTTTGAGATTGTATATAAGTTCTTTAAAGACAACTCCTCTAATATTTGCTATCAAGTATTCCTTATATTTCAGATTGTTTTTGTTTAAGAACTGGTTAGTAAACAATGAAATCCTTTTTTCTCTATGTAGTTTTCCATACAGATTATAGTTATATCCTTTAGAACTTTTTCTGTTTCTGCTTTAAATTGTTAATAGTTAAAAGAATGAGTGTTGATCTCTAGCTTTCCATATTTATTATATTTGTTAATTTTATAAAATGATAGAAGCCTTGTTTACAACTTGCTTTTGATTAATAGTTCATTATTTTAGAGACTGTGACAAAACTTTCTTAGTTTGTGGTTCTTCCTATCTGTATAGTAGTTGCTTATCTTTATAGGTTATAAGTAAGTTGTTGTTATTTTCTAGTTGATTTTTTTAATAATTCATTCATTGAAATTATATCTAGTTCTTTTAATAGTTAACATTTTGTCAAATAAATAGTACTTGTAAGCTTTTGTATAACTAATTTTATGGAAACTTTGATAAAATATTTGTTTCATTATAGTATTATGCCTATTTATGGATCTTTAATTCTGGTGATTTCTATTTTATTTTCTCTCAGCTTTATGCCTTTTAATGAATTTATCTGTGCCAACTGGTTAGCCACTTTATTATATCTGATTATAGAGTGATGTTTCACTTTGTATAGTAACAGTTTAATCTTTAATCTTTTTTTGTTTGTATAGAATCTTAATTTGAAGTAGGAGGTTTAAGTTTTTTTGTTTTTTCATGATCCTACTGCTTTTGTCTTTCTTCTAAATCTTTTTATTCCATTGATGACTACCTGACTATCTGTGTAGACACTTGCTATACTATATTCCAGTAGTACACTTAGAGCTATTATAATTGTCACTATCTCTGCTTTGATAGATAATAGATGTTATTTAATCTGTTCTTGAAATATGTATTCCTCTAGATCTAGGGTGATGATAATTCAGCTTAGGTTTATGTAATATTTACCCTTCGAGTTTGTAAAAGATCCATCTGTATAGATATTAATGATAGCAAAATTTTTTATTTTTTCCTTGATGTTTTTTTAATCTTTTCTATGTTTTCTGATAAACTGCTAAAGATTTTGTTTTTTTGCCTGATTTTTGTTTATGCTTCAGTTGATATGCTAACTACTATGTCCTTATCTTATATGAAGGGCTCAAATATCTATATGTACTCTATAAAGGTTATAGCAAGAGAATTTGAAAATGTTCTATTTCTTTATCAATACTTCTTTATATCTGTGTTATTTTTTCTTATAAATATTTGACTCTTCTAAACAAATATAGTAATTGAATATTGCCAAGTTACTGTGAAGCTATATTCATCTCTATTTGTGTAGAATGTATTAAGTATACAGCCTTGACATGCCTCCAGTAGTGAGTTTCCTGGATCTTTGATATCGTGTCTTATCTCATTATATTTTGATTACTTTCCTTAGTTTTTTGTTAATTGTTGATTCTCCCTTTTTCTATGTATAGTCTAGTAAGGCTTTGTTATATTGTGATTCATTATAGGAACTCCTTGTTTGAAAATATTAGTTGTTACTTAACATATTGAAAATTTTTTTACTTTTAGTAATCTTTTTATTTTGCTATTTAGAATTAGGAACTATCTGAGGTTGGACCTGGAAATGTTTTCCTTCTGATTCTTATAATTTGACACTATTTTAATATTTTTGAGCTGTCTATATTTATCAGCTATTCAATTAAAAGTATGTTGTGTTTATGTAGATAGTGTCAGTGCTTTAAGTAAAAGTGTTTGTTCATAATCTCTTTTATGAGAGTGTCTATCTCTTGAATAAGTGTGATACTATTATATTTATTGCTTAATTTGAATATGAATCTATATCTTCTCATGAATTAGATAGTGTTACTGTATGTGTTAAACTTTTTCCTAAGGTTTTCTAGAACTGTTTTATTTTGTTTAAAATAGATTTGATGAACCAAAATTCATTTTGAAGAGTTTGTTATCTGATTCTTACTATTTTACTAACTATATTATTTTTATTAATTTAATTTGTTCAGTTTGTTATATGTAAAAGAAGTTGTCTATTCCAGAAATATATTAAATTATATTTATATCTATTGAAGAGAATATTGTTTAGTGTTGTCCTTGTGAAATGTAGCTTATATTTGAAAACTGTTGTGATACTATTCATAAGAAGATTACATATCTTTTTTGAAAAAATCATGTCATTATATTGGAATTTTGCATTGGGAATAAGGATATGTTTTATTATATACTGTATCTGCTTGTTTATCAGGTGCTTCCTTCTTATTAATTTCTTGATCTTCATAAACTTTTGTTAAATTAGGGTTTTCTAATATTCTTTTTTTCCTAAACTGTTATACTAGACTTCTAGAATTCTTACTGTGATCTCTTATAGGTAACTTTTGATAATTTGATCCTCTATTTCTATGCCTTGTCTAAAAGATTTTTCTTTTCCATTGATAATTAACAGCTGAAATTTCTGTAGATTGATTTTTATGTCATTTATCTTGTAAAACTCATCTGCTTTTCTAATGATTTGTTGTAGCTCTTTCTTGTTGTTTGTGATCTATATAGTATCATCTATATAGACATTAACTGCAATGTTTACTTTTTTGTTTATCTACTCTAGCTTGAAGTCCCTGTAAAGCTTGATTGATATTCTATAGCCTGTGAAGTTTTTTTTAATTGTTATGATTAATGGATTATATAAGATTTATCATAATAGTAAAAAGATTGTGTCTCCTTGGTTGATGCCATTCTTGACCCCATATTTCTCTATAGAACTATAACATGTTAGGACTATATTTTGTTTCTAATTGAAGATATTGTGTAGAATATTGATTATTTATATTAGGATCTTTATACTAAGGCCTTAATTAGCATTTCTAAATTCACTAAGTTGTATGCTTTTGACATGTCTTAACTAAGGATCTATGTTTGTTTCTTGTTTTTTTAATATATTCACTGATATTATTTATTATATAAATTGATTCCTATATATTGCAGTCTAGAAGAGTAGCCCAGTTTAGTTCTAATAGAATTTTGTTCTTCGTTAAACATGAGGCAATTCTATTTGCTAAAATCTTAATGAAAATTTTCCTTTCTGTATCCAGTAGTATAATTGGTCTTGTTATATCAAGGTTGTTCTGTTAATTCTTTGATTTGAGTATAGGATATATGGTCTTTTTCCTCCACTCCTTAGATATAGAGCCCTTTTTAATAATTTGATTAAAAAGATTTCTGAATTCTTTCAAAGCCAGTATTCTAGTTTCTTGTATACTAGGTAGTATTAACCTTAATTAATGGTCATATTTCTCTTTAATTATTATCTATAATTTTTGTCTATCATATTACTCTAGTTATATTTTAGATCATATAATATATGTGATGCAAGGTGTATCTTATTGACTTATAGGAT